ATATATATTGTATTTTATATATATATATATATATATATATATATATATATATATATATATATATATAATTTTAAAACACAGAACAGTTATTTATTTTAGTAAAATACTGTATTCATATTTTTATTAAATCATAATTTTAAATTCATTTTTTGTCATAACAATAAATGACTGTTAAAATGTATGACAATTCACAGTCAGGAATATACTGTAAATTCACATTTCATTTTTTGCAGTGCAAGTTAGTATGAAAACAAATGTTGTTCTCCTAATTATGTTTGTTTATTGATGTCTCTGTAAGCTAAAAGAGCGAAAGTACAGCTGGTGAGATTTGCAGTGAGTTTAGCTGGATATGTGAATGAATCTGCAGCGATGGAGGCCATAGAGAAGAAGGTGAGATGTTATTTATATACTGCATGTGTCTGAACGACGACAGATTGATCGGACAGGTATGTTCACATAGTTTCGCTCGAGTGAATGCTGAAAGAGGCGCGATCGAGACTCAGTTACCTGCCGCGCGACTGCAAACCAGTCTCTGCGCACATTCAGCGGTTTATTTATTTCTAATAGCAAGTTTGATACGTGGTTTATTTCGTCCGCACGTTTCCAGTAAGCCTCACAGCCGAAATGGTAAGTTTGTTTAATTTCACATGCTTCAAACCAGCAACATGTGTGTGTGTGTGTGAGGGCTGATGCTGTTTATTGCATCTGACTCTATTGATAATTCTCAGACTTTATTAAGGCTAAATCTAGCTACACATCATCTCGTGCACATGTTTTTATTTATTAATTTTTTTTATTTATTGATTTCCAACATATAATATAAAGGTACTGAGACAAAGATAAACTACAAAAAAGAAATAGAAAATATACAGTATTATATAAATAATAATAATAATACAGGTAAAAAAAAATAATAATAATAATAGTAATTTTTGTCTATTATAATAAATTAAAAGATACGTCTCGTGCACACGTGTAGGCTTGTGTATGTCATCGCTGCCGTCATGTGTTTTGACTTTCTGTGGTCATGCATTGCTGAAATACACCTGATGTTGCAACTCTCGATGATCAAGCGATGAGCACCATTTAAAGGCAAGACACCACCCTAACCCGAGCAGCTGAGCAGAGACCACCCTAACCCTAGCAGCTGAGTAGAGACCACCCTAACCCTAGCAGCTGAGTAGAGACCACCCTAACCCTAGCAGCTGAGTAGAGACCACCCTAACCCTAGCAGCTGAGCAGAGACCACCCTAACCCTAGCAGCTGAGCAGAGACCACCCTAACCCTAGCAGCTGAGCAGAGACCACCCTAACCCTAGCAGCTGAGCAGAGACCACCCTAACCCTAGCAGCTGAGCAGAGACCACCCTAACCCTAGCAGCTGAGCAGAGACCACCCTAACCCTAGCAGCTGAGTAGAGACCACCCTATCCCTAGCAGCTGAGTAGAGTAAAATAGCTTAACTATAGATATTACATCCCCAGTTCACTGACTGCTTTAAATAGCTATTATTATCATTATTACACCTTATCTGAAATGTTAGGTTTAAATATGCAAATAAACAGGTTTTTGTTGACATTTTTTTTCTCTTGTTATCACTGCACATATAGTCAACTGACAGAAAAGCAAATACATTTTAATCATGTTTTTAGGAATAAAATGCTTTATATCTATAACCAGGCTGAATGATATATGAACAAACCCTTCTATAAAAAGAATTAAAACTAGTAAAGTTTGGTTTATGTAAGTGCTGCTCAAGTGGAGAAAGAAACAGCCCTTAATAGATATGTATTGCGATTGGAATCTGAATAGATAAAGTGCAATCAAATCTATCTGTTTTGTTAATGTTCTGGACATAATTGAATCTTATTCCATCCTTGCTGTGTTTTTCACAGGATGGCGATTCGCTGTTTGGTGTCTCGGGTCTGATCATGGAGGTGAGACTCTAATTAACTTGCTCTGGATCAGTCATTTAATAAGAATTAACTTCACTCTTGTTGCATATCAAAGTCCAGCCTGTTCCTTTTACACACAACTCAAGAAAACACCTGGAGGGTTAATTACTGTTGCAGTCATTTTGTCCAGAAAGACATTGTTCAGGATATTATTACGAAATTACTTATGAACGTTTTACTTTCTTATTATTTCACATTTATTTTATTCTGTCGTTCACTAATCACAGCTGAAATCTGCTCTCCAGACGAATCAGATCCTCTCAGATCAGCAGATGGACGCTGGATCCAGCGTAACGTGGAGAGTGCAGCCTGATGGGCAGATCTTCCAGCGGCAGGAACGTAACACAACGGCATGTGGACAATGATTCTATGCTGTCTGTAGGTTCATGTATTTCAAAGACCTTTTCACTTATATTGAGATCAATTTCTTCTTTTATTTCCCGCTTTTGATCAATCATGTCATATACAGGGGAAACTTGATAAACATACACTTTATGAAATACTTGATTCAGTAAAAATAAATAAATAAATAAAACTGCATGATGTCCTTTATGACTTTGGTGCAATATTGCACGAGTAAATGACATAAATAATGCTGTTCTCGATATTAAAATATCTGCAAATCCACAACTAATTGACTGCACTTTTCCCATATATATTTTTTTTAGTTCTAAATCTGTATTATTTATGCCTTTTGGAAAGCACTGTTAGAATCTTGCAGGACAACATTAACTTATCTGCCAGCTCAAAGGGCCATGATAACCATCACCATTGTTTAGACAGTTGTTTAGACCAGTGGTTCCCAACCTTGGTCCTTGAGGCACCTCAACACTGCACGTTTTGCATGGCTCCTTAATCAAACACACCTGATTCAGGTCATCATCTCATTAGTAGAGACTCCAAGATCTGAAAATGGAGTGTCAGAGAAAGGACACATATAACATGTGCAGTGTTGGGGTGCCTCAAGGACCAGGGTTGGGAACCACTGGGTTAGACAGTAGAAAGTGATTGTTTACTGCCCTCTTATGGTTAGGCAGAGAAAGTGGCTACATTATGTTGGTTAAAAACAAACAAACAAAAACTACATTACGAGCAAGCAAATAAACCGCACTGCACGAAATTCTTCACTATTGAATATCTAAACCAATGAGTTGGGAGGCAAGTGAATTAATGCTGAGATCAGATGACATTAGATAACTTTCTGGTGATTCTGAATATAGAAATGTCAATGTAGCAAAGGTTGCGAGTTGGTACAAATGTGTTTATTCCCAAATTGCGACTGTCAAGCTGAGATCTCCTAATCTGAGTGAATATTCAGATGTAATAAAGAGAAGATTATATTGCATTTGTGTGATGGGTGGACATCATCAGGCAAGGTGCCTGAAACAGTTTGCACTGGTTTTGAACAGGTCTCCTTTAACACGCAAGCTGTTGCATTAGTCTTATAGCTTTATAGCAGTGTTTTAATGTCGGGTTCGGGTCAGGATAACACGTGACCTACCTGAGCTCGACAGGACAGGTATGTTCACATAGTTTCGCTCGAGTGAATGCTGAAAGAGGCGCGATCGAGACTCAGTTACCTGCCGCGCGACTGCAAACCAGTCTCTGCGCACATTCAGCGGTTTATTTATTTCTAACAGCAAGTTTGATACGTGGTTTATTTCGTCCGCACGTTTCCAGTAAGCCTCACAGCCGAAATGGTAAGTTTGTTTAATTTCACATGCTTCAAACCAGTAAGAATGCATTAAATAGCGAGCCGCACATTACTGCTGAACAAAACACAACCGCGCGCGCTTCTTTTAATTACAGCATCAATATTGCTACTAAACACAGCGGAGGATGAGCTTATAAAGGATATTTCGTTGACTAACACTGTTGCAGATGCTGAAGACGGTGTGTGTGTGTGAGGGCTGATGCTGTTTATTGCATCTGACTCTATTGATAATTCTCAGACTTTATTTAGGCTAAATCTAGCTACACATCATCTCGTGCACATGTTTTTATTTTTGTATTTTTTTTATTTATTGATTTCCAACATATAATATAAAGCTACTGAGACAAATATAAACTACAAAAAATAAATAGAAAATATACAGTATTATATAAATAATAATACTAATAATACAGGTAAAATAATAATAATAATAATAATAATAAATAATAAAAAACTAAACAGAAAAAAGGACAGGTATGAGATCATCATATAAATAACATAAAAGCTTCACAAAGAGACCTAGTGCGTTTTGCTTTACTGTTTTTCAACCCAAGTAGTAACTCGATATAATTTTTCATGTCTATCTGAAATAACAAAACATTGGGTTTTCCTTTAGCCCATTTCTGTTTATGTATATGGTATTTCCCCATAAATCAAACAAAGATTAACAATAAAGGTCACATGTCTATTCAAATAAAAAGATACGTCTCGTGCACATGTGTAGGCTTGTGTATGTCATCGCTGACGTCACGTGTTTTGACTTTCTGTGGTCATGCATTGCTGAAATACACCTGATGTTGCAACTCTCGATGATCAAGCGATGAGCACCATTTAAAGGCAAGACACCACCCTAACCCGAGCAGCTGAGCAGAGACCACCCTAACCCTAGCAGCTGAGTAGAGACCACCCTATCCCTAGCAGCTGAGTAGAGACCACCCTAACCCTAGCAGCTGAGTAGAGTAAAATAGCTTAACTATAGATATTACATCCCCAGTTCACTGACTGCTTTAAATAGCTATTATTATCATTATTACACCTTATCTGAAATGTTAGGTTTAAATATGCAAATAAACAGGTTTTTGTTGACATTTTTTTTCTCTTGTTATCACTGCACATATAGTCAACTGACAGAAAAGCAAATACATTTTAATCATGTTTTTAGGAATAAAATGCTTTATATCTATAACCAGGCTGAATGATATATGAACAAACCCTTCTATAAAAAGAATTAAAACTAGTTAAGTTTGGTTTATGTAAGTGCTGCTCAAGTGGAGAAAGAAATGGCCCTTAATAGATATGTATTGCGATTGGAATCTGAATAGATAAAGTGCAATCAAATCTATCTGTTTTGTTAATGTTCTGGACATAATTGAATCTTATTCCATCCTTGCTGTGTTTTTCACAGGATGGCGATTCGCTGTTTGGTGTCTCGGGTCTGATCATGGAGGTGAGACTCTAATTAACTTGCTCTGGATCAGTCATTTAATAAGAATTAACTTCACTCTTGTTGCATATCAAAGTCCAGCCTGTTCATTTTACACACAACTCAAGAAAACCCCTGGAGGGTTGTAGATGCAAGAAAGAATATACAAATAATCACTCAAATGTCCAAAGAGGAACCTATGTGTGTGTGTTTGCTCTTCTGATCCAGTCTAAACTCGTTCACTTTGACTTGCTCTCCACTAGAACGGGATCCGCAGCACCTCCTGGAATCCTTTCTGTTCAAACCCACAGGTATTAATGTCCATCAAAACTTCACTCTCAGGAAGATTTGTAAAGAAATTAATACTTTTATTAATAAAAGATGCATTCAATTGATCGAGAGTGAAAGTGAAGACATTTATAATGTTACAAAAGATTTCTATTTCAAATAAATGCTGTTCTTCTGAACTTTCTGTTCATCTGTGAATCCTGAAAAACTAAATATATCACGGTTTCCGCAGAAATATTGAGCAGCACGACTGTTTTCAGCATTGATAATAATCAGAAATGTTTCTAGAGCAGCAAAGCAGCATATTATACTGATTTCTGAAGATCATGTGCCACTGAAGACTGGAGTAATGATGCTGAAAATACAGCTGTGCATCTCAGAAAAGAATATACAAATAATCACTCAAATGTCCAAAGAGGAACCTATGTGTGTGTGTTTGCTCTTCTGATCCAGTCTAAACTCGTTCACTTTGACTTGCTCTCCACTAGAACGGGATCCGCAGCACCTCCTGGAATCCTTTCTGTTCAAACCCACAGGTATTAATGTCCATCAAAACTTCACTCTCAGGAAGATTTGTAAAGAAATTAATACTTTTATTAATAAAAGATGCATTCAATTGATCGAGAGTGAAAGTGAAGACATTTATAATGTTACAAAAGATTTCTATTTCAAATAAATGCTGTTCTTCTGAACTTTCTGTTCATCTGTGAATCCTGAAAAACTAAATATATCACGGTTTCCGCAGAAATATTGAGCAGCACGACTGTTTTCAGCATTGATAATAATCAGAAATGTTTCTAGAGCAGCAAAGCAGCATATTATACTGATTTCTGAAGATCATGTGCCACTGAAGACTGGAGTAATGATGCTGAAAATACAGCTGTGCATCTCAGAAATACATTACAGTTTAACAGATATTCACAGAGAAAACAGCTGTTTTATTTCAGATCTATTAGCAAGCCACTCAAAGCTCATATGGCATTGAAATCCTCACCTGTTCTGTTGAATCTGCTTGTATTTACAGGACTATGATGTGAAAACGGAGAACAATGTGTTGCCAGACATGACGAGTTTAACCAAAAGCAGCAGCATTCATCAGACGCCTGAGTTCTCAGACGATCCTTTTCCAGCTCCGGACTGGGTTTTGTTTCCTCCGCCTGATTTTTATAAAGACGACACTGCGAATGGCTTCCAGAGCACGTCAGCGGCAGGCACACAGAGTGAAGACACAGACATTTTCCAGCCTTTTAAAGAGAAAGCAGGCACTGGTGTGACGCACAGCAGCTCAGCCAATCAGAACGCAGAATCCTGGCCTTCGTCCAATCAGAGTGATCCTCTCCTGGAATTCATCCTCTCCAGACAGAAGAATTTCCGAGCTTCTCCACCACCATCTGCAACCACCGGCGTTTTCCAAGAAGCGTCCGGTTTCCTCGAGACTCCTTCACTGTCCAGCTCGCCGCTCGTTTCTAATACCAACCCGACATCTGACCATATTTACAAGACATCCTCGTCCCACATCGAGACGTTCGATCCTCTGTTTGCCCCTCAGAATGAAGTCCAGTCCAATCAGAAGAGCAGTTACGATCTACTGTCCCATCTTGCTTTGCCAAACCGAGCCGCTCAAGAGACGTCAGCTTTAGCAACACCTTCCACAAGCATCTCAAACGGAGATCCGGTGAGAAACAAATGGCTATGACATGAGAGTTGTGTGGCTTTTAGTTCATTTCTGTTCATTTGAAGCTCATCTGGATTCTAGTGGGACTCTAAAAGTTGACCAGATGAGCTTTTATGCTCAGATCAGTCTTATTTCAGGATCGTTGAGAAACTATTGAATTCAAGTAAATTGGGACCGTTTTTGCCATTGAGACGACTAGGACAAAATAGTGCTCAATTGATCCTATTATTTTGATTATTATTATTTTTTGTTATTTTTTTTTTTAGATATTAAATTTTATTTGTATTATTTTAGTTAAAATATGAATAATTGTATTGTGTGTTTCTGTCATTAGTATTATTATTTAAATATAGCTCTATAGCTTTTTTTCAGTTTTAGTTAGTTTAGTGCTTCAAGATAAACTAAATGAAGATGAGAAATGTTGCTTTGGCAACTAGCTGAAATCGAATCAAATATTATGTTTTGTTTTATGTTATCTCAGTTATAGTTTATTTCAGTAATTTTTTTGTATGGCTCATTTTTAGTGTTAGTTAACTATAGTAACCCCGACTCACATATACTCATGTAAAATGTACAGTTTTTCTCTTCCAACCCAAAATATTAATTATATGTGTAGATATTTACTGTATTAAAAATTACAGTAAAAATTGTGAAATATTATTATAATTTAATACAGCTGTTTACTGTGTGAGTATCTGATCAAATCTAATTTATTTCTGTGATCAAAGCTGTATTTTCAGCATCATTATGCCATTCTTCAGTGTCACATGATTTGCTGCTCAAATTATTTTTATTATGTAGAAAACAGCTGAGCTTTGATGAATAGAAAGTTCAGAAGAACGTTCATTCAAACGGAGATCCGGTGAGAAACAAATGGCTATGACATGAGAGTTGTGTGGCTTTTAGTTCATTTCTGTTCATTTGAAGCTCATCTGGATTCTAGTGGGACTCTAAAAGTTGACCAGATGAGCTTTTATGCTCAGATCAGTCTTATTTCAGGATCGTTGAGAAACTATTGAATTCAAGTAAATTGGGACCGTTTTTGCCATTGAGACGACTAGGACAAAATAGTGCTCAATTGATCCTATTATTTTGATTATTATTATTTTTTGTTATTTTTTTTTTTTAGATATTAAATTTTATTTGTATTATTTTAGTTAAAATATTAATAATTGTATTGTGTGTTTCTGTCATTAGTATTATTATTATTATTATTATTATTATTATTCTTTAAATATAGTTCTATAGCTTTTTTTCAGTTTTAGTTAGTTTAGTGCTTCAAGATAAACTAAATGAAGATGAGAAATGTTGCTTTGGCAACTAGCTGAAATCGAATCAAATATTATGTTTTGTTTTATGTTATCTCAGTTATAGTTTATTTCAGTCATTTTTTTGTATGGCTCATTTTTAGTGTTAGTTAACTATAGTAACCCCGACTCACATATACTCATGTAAAATGTACAGTTTTTCTCTTCCAACCCAAAATATTAATTATACGTGTAGATATTTACTGTATTAAAAATTACAGTAAAAATTGTGAAATATTATTATAATTTAATACAGCTGTTTACTGTGTGAGTATCTGATCAAATCTAATTTATTTCTGTGATCAAAGCTGTATTTTCAGCATCATTATGCCATTCTTCAGTGTCACATGATTTGCTGCTCAAATTATTTTTATTATGTAGAAAACAGCTGAGCTTTGATGAATAGAAAGTTCAGAAGAACGTTCATTTATCTGACATATAAATCTTTTGTAACATTCTAAATGTCTTTATCATCACTTTTGATCAATTTAAAGCGTCCTTGCTAAATAAAAGTATTAATTTAATTATTTAATACATTTTTAATTATACTGACTCCCAGCTTTTTCAATGGTAGAGTGTATAATGTTACAAAAGCTTTTTATTTCAGATAAATGCTGATCTTTGGATCTTTCTATTCATCAAAACATCCTGAAAAAATAATTATATTATATTATTATTCATTATAATAATCAGAAATGTTTCTCGAGCAAATTAGAATGATTTCTGAAGGATCATGTGACACTGAAGACTGGAGTAATGATGCTGAAAATACAGAGAAATAAATTACAGTTTAACACATATTCACACAGAAAACAGCTGTATTAAATTATAATAATATTTCACAACTTTTACTGTATTGTTTGTATTTTTAATCAAATGAATGCAGTCATGGTGAGCAGAAGAGACTTCTTTAAAACACATCTTCCTGTTGAGAAACGTTTGCCTGGTGGTGTACATCGAAACCTGCGCTCATCAGATCATGTCATGGGCTCTTTAGGGCTTTATTAGACCTTATTATAATATGTTCTTCTTGTAGATGTTCAGGAGGCGTCCTCCCAAAGCTGGTCCTCGCAGTAAACCCCCGAAGAGCCTCCTCCAGCCTCCTGCTCTCTCTCAGGTACTGTAGCTCTGCTATCTCTTTCGTAGACGAGCTCTAGCTGATGTTTGTCTTCAGTTTTGTGCTGCCACTCGTTCTTCTGCTGGTGTTCAGATCAGATCCATCCAAAAGCATGACATGTAAACACGGAAAAGCAGATACAATATAATGTCCATTTGGAGAAACGTTTGCCTGGTGGTGTACATCGAAACCTGCGCTCATCAGATCATGTCATGGGCTCTTTAGGGCTTTATTAGACCTTATTATAATATGTTCTTCTTGTAGATGTTCAGGAGGCGTCCTCCCAAAGCTGGTCCTCGCAGTAAACCCCCGAAGAGCCTCCTCCAGCCTCCTGCTCTCTCTCAGGTACTGTAGCTCTGCTATCTCTTTCGTAGACGAGCTCTAGCTGATGTTTGTCTTCAGTTTTGTGCTGCCACTCGTTCTTCTGCTGGTGTTCAGATCAGATCCAGACTACTTCATCATCTCGTCTTTCTCGCTCTTCTTTGCTTTTCACCTCGTCTTTTCTTATTGCTACAAAAGCATGACATGTAAACACGGAAAAGCAGATACAATATAATGTCCATTTGCATAAAACAAAACAAAACTGTAGAGACATTTTTTTTTTTTTACAGTATCTAGTTGATGTAAGTATTTTATTTTTTTTATTTTTTTTAATGTTGCTATATTTTGTATAAGCTTAAAGTTGTAGTACAGAGAGAAATAAAAAAGGGGCATGACAAGTAACAAAAAAATATATATATATTGTTTTTTTTTTATCAAATACATTTATTTATATTATTATTTAAATACTACTACTACTACTACTAATAATAATAATAAACAAGTTAATTTAAATAATAATAATAATAATAATAATAATAAGTGAATTGAAATCATTGAATGGTAAAATATAATTAATTTGATCAACTATTGTACAAATCATTATTAAAGTTGTACTAGCCTTCATGCCTTCTTAAATTATCCATTTCAGAATTAAATTTTAATTTATAAATATCCAAATGTAATATCAACATGAAGTAAATCTGTACCATATTTGCTTTTATTGTTTTATTTAAGCACTTTTCTGGTCTTTGTGTGCACAATCTATCAGTAAATATTATTCTAAAAATAAAGATGTTTGTTTTCCAAATATGTCAGTCATTTGCTCTGCCTTTGAAGCAGCTGTCTTCTTTCTGCTGGTGTTTCATCTCAGGCGGTGTGCTTTTGATCAAATAGTCAAATCAAGGTGAATCTTTCTAAAAGCTTGCCAATAGTTCATCTTTGTCCAGTAATCACAACAAATCAGCAAAAGTCATCTCTGATTCTGATATGAAACACCCAGTTTTCACAATCCACGATGAAATCGTGTGCATTTTTTGTACGTTGTATGTATTTTCCCCACTCTGTGATTATAGCATGTTTGAACTAACAGTGAGTGTAGTCTTCATGTGTTATTACGCGCCGTCTGTGTGTTGATCTCTAAGCTATTAGACTCCAGACTGTTTGTGAAATGTTCTGTGTGCTCGACGCTGTGATGAAGCGTGTTGTTATGATCTGTCAGATCACGACGGCTGCGATGGAGAGCGATCCGCCGGTTTATGAGGACGTTCTTCTCATCGGTCAGGTTTGTGTGCTGCATTTTAGCCGGTCCCTGTGTTTCTGAGGGTGCTGCCTGGTTTTGTCAAGTTTTTTCTTCCTCAATCATCATTTTACAATCTCATGTTTACAAGTTTTAGCTGGTTTGGGAGAAAAAAATATTATATAATAAATAATAATAATATACAAATATAGAAATTATTTAATACTTTATTTAAAACATATATTTATATAAAAATAATGATATAAACATTTGTAGAATATGGTTTTCTTAGAATTTGTATGTATTTTGCATAATTTGACAATTCTGAAAATAAAAAAAACATTTATTAAAAAAATAATTAATTAAAAATAAAATAAATAAAATAATGTATAAATAATTTAATACAAATGTGTATTTATTTATTTAATTAATTAAACATAATACATTTTATTGATATAAAAATAATATGAACATTTGTAGAATATGGTTTCCTTAGAATTTGTATACATTTTGCATAATTTGACAATTCTGTAAATAAAAGACATTAATAAAAAAAAAATATTACAAAACAAAACAATAAAATAAAATAATAAAATAAAATAAAATAAAGGTTGACAAGCCTCCAGGACAGGTTTTAACTGGTCCTTCATGTAACAAGGAAAAAGTTTATTGTAAGTAAAAAAAAAAATCCCCGTAGTGGAAGAAACACCCTCATGTGGATTCATATTACGTTGTTCTGCATTATTTATACATACACCTGCATGCTTCAAACATGATTTACAGGAAAGGTGTGTGGAGGACTGGCCTGAACACAGTCCAGAACTTTCTCCAGAATGGAAACCAGTAAGTTCTCTCTCATTATCTGAACTGTAGCACAGCACACCGATGCACAGAAAGACTGAGATGCTCTGTGTGTGTTGCAGGCTGGCAAGCTCAGGCTTCGGAGAGACTCTGTGCGGGTGAGTCCTTCCTTCAGATCACAGCTCTGTCTGCATGAGGACAAAAAGCTGTGTTGTTAACTGAAATAAAGCTGAAATACTATTTACTGCAAATATTAGGTGAACTAGTTATTCCAAGGCAACATTTCTCATGTTTGTTTAGCTCAACTTGAAGCACTAAAATTACTAACGGGAAACAAATAAAAACTAGAATTTAAACCTGTGTTATTTTGTTATTATCAATGTAGTATTATAGTTAATATTTGAATATACTATTATAGATAATATAATGTGTATTTGAATTCAAGTAACACATTTATCATTTTAGTTTTAGTTATTGATAATAACCATAACAATTTAAGAAAAAAAAACATAAAAACTGACAAAAGCACATAACAAAATTAAATTGATGAGTAATAATGAAAAAAACATAATAAAAATAAAAATAGTAATAATAGTAATAATCATAAATAAGCGATTGATTAAATAAATCATTTGATGGTAAAAACAAAATGGTAAATTTTAAAACTGATGGTAAACTGAAAGCTGAAAATATATAAAAATAGAATCTAATATATCAAATATTAATAAAAACTATAATAGTACATAAATAATGCTAAAATAGCACTGATGTAGTGAAAACTTCTCAAATGGAGACCAAAATCATTTAACAAACAAACAAAAACTTTTTAAAACGTCAATTCAATTTAATAATAATCATATTTAAAATATAAAATATTAATAAAATAAATGATGTAGTTCCAAACTTCCCAAATGTAGACCTAAATAATTTAACCAAAAAAATAAAATAAAGTTTGTAAAAACATTACATTTAATTTTATAGTAATTAAAAGAAATACATAAAATAGCATCCATCTCTGCAGGCAATAATTAACCTGGTGGGCATATTTATCCTCAGCACAGTGCAGATGAATTCATGTAGTCAGTATTTTCTTTGAGCTTTTGTTCAGCTGTGTTTGAGATGAAGAGGTTGTGAAACACATAGTAATGTCCAGAACACACGAGCTAACTAAAGATCTCTCTCCTAACACGGCTGACCTCTGGCTCTAGATTACAGAGGCGTCTGATGGAGGCGCTGATCTGAAGAGGAACGGGAAGCAGGTACGGTGTGAATCCACGACCTCAGCGTGACTCTGAGCTCTGAGTGTGCTTGTCCTCCTTCACGTGTGCTTGCTGATCTTTCAGATTCTGGGAAGGAAACTGAGACACTCGCTGCTGATCAGGAGGAGCTCAAAGGTAAATCAAGAGAAATCATGACGCTTGCTGAAGGAGAAGTCTGCTAAATAATCTGAACAATTCAAAATCTGTTCAATTCAGTTCAAATGAAAAAGATGCTGGTAATCGTCTGTCGGGACATTATCTGTTAAGTTTAAGAACAATTCTTTTAACCCTAAAACACAACATAATGTATGAAAACTCTCAATTCGGGAAAAAGTAAAAACTCAGAATTGGGCTCTAAGGTAAAACATTATGATTACAGTCATCATACAATTACAATAATTGTAATAATTTAAAGATAAAATTATTTATTATAAATACAATATTTTTTGTATTTTTAAATAATTATTTATAAATTATTTTATTAAAAATGAAATGCGTATTATATATTTTTATAATTGATCATAATGTATAATTATGTATCTATTGTAATTTATACATTATAATATAAATGTATTATATACATTGCAATATTTCCAACTTAACATTTGTAGAATATGGTTTCCTTAGAATTTGTATATATTTTGCATAATTTGACAATTCTGAAAATAAAAAAAACATTTATTAAAAAAATAATTAATTAAAAATAAAATAAATAAAATAATGTATAAATAATTTAATACAAATGTGTATTTATTTATTTAATTAATTAAACATAATACATTTTATTGATATAAAAATAATATGAACATTTGTAGAATATGGTTTCCTTAGAATTTGTATACATTTTGCATAATTTGACAATTATGTAAATAAAATACATTTATTAAAAAACAAAATTGTATTAATTAATTAAAAATAAAATAAGATTATATATAAATAATTGAATACAAATACGTATTTGTTTATTTATTTAATTAATTAAAAAATAATAAATTTTATTTATATAAAAATAATGATATAAACATTTGTAGAATATGGTTTCCTTAGTATTTGTATATATTTTGCATAACTTGACAATTCTGTAAATAAAAGACATTAATAAAAAAAAAATATTACAAAACAAAACAATAAAATAAAATAATAAAATAAAATAAAATAAAGGTTGACAAGCCTCCAGGACAGGTTTTAACTGGTCCTTCATGTAACAAGGAAAAAGTTTATTGTAAGTAAAAAAAAAAATCCCCGTAGTGGAAGAAACACCCTCATGTGGATTCATATTACGTTGTTCTGCATTATTTATACATACACCTGCATGCTTCAAACATGATTTACAGGAAAGGTGTGTGGAGGACTGGCCTGAACACAGTCCAGAACTTTCTCCAGAATGGAAACCAGTAAGTTCTCTCTCATTATCTGAACTGTAGCACAGCACACCGATGCACAGAAAGACTGAGATGCTCTGTGTGTGTTGCAGGCTGGCAAGCTCAGGCTTCGGAGAGACTCTGTGCGGGTGAGTCCTTCCTTCAGATCACAGCTCTGTCTGCATGAGGACAAAAAGCTGTGTTGTTAACTGAAATAAAGCTGAAATACTATTTACTGCAAATATTAGGTGAACTAGTTATTCCAAGGCAACATTTCTCATGTTTGTTTAGCTCAACTTGAAGCACTAAAATTACTAACGGGAAACAAATAAAAACTAGAATTTAAACCTGTGTTATTTTGTTATTATCAATGTAGTATTATAGTTAATATTTGAATATACTATTATAGATAATATAATGTGTATTTGAATTCAAGTAACACATTTATCATTTTAGTTTTAGTTATTGATAATAACCATAACAATTTAAGAAAAAAAAACATAAAAACTGACAAAAGCACATAACAAAATTAAATTGATGAGTAATAATGAAAAAAACATAATAAAAATAAAAATAGTAATAATAGTAATAATCATAAATAAGCGATTGATTAAATAAATCATTTGATGGTAAAAACAAAATGGTAAATTTTAAAACTGATGGTAAACTGAAAGCTGAAAATATATAAAAATAGAATCTAATATATCAAATATTAATAAAAACTATAATAGTACATAAATAATGCTAAAATAGCACTGATGTAGTGAAAACTTCTCAAATGGAGACCAAAATCATTTAACAAACAAACAAAAACTTTTTAAAACTTCAATTAAATTTAATAATAATCATATTTAAAATATAAAATATTAATAAAATAAATGATGTAGTTCCAAACTTCCCAAATGTAGACCTAAATAATTTAACCAAAAAAATAAAATAAAGTTTGTAAAAACATTACATTTAATTTTATAGTAATTAAAAGAAATACATAAAATAGCATCCATCTCTGCAGGCAATAATTAACCTGGTGGGCATATTTATCCTCAGCACAGTGCAGATGAATTCATGTAGTCAGTATTTTCTTTGAGCTTTTGTTCAGCTGTGTTTGAGATGAAGAGGTTGTGAAACACATAGTAATGTCCAGAACACACGAGCTAACTAAAGATCTCTCTCCTAACACGGCTGACCTCTGGCTCTAGATTGCAGAGGCGTCTGATGGAGGCGCTGATCTGAAGAGGAACGGGAAGCAGGTACGGTGTGAATCCACGACCTCAGCGTGACTCTGAGCGTGTGCTTGTCCTCCTTCACGTGTGCTTGCTGATCTTTCAGATTCTGGGAAGGAAACTGAGACACTCGCTGCTGATCAGGAGGAGCTCAAAGGTAAATCAAGAGAAATCATGACGCTTGCTGAAGGAGAAGTCTGCTAAATAATCTGAACAATTCAAAATCTGTTCAATTCAGTTCAAATGAAAAAGATGCTGGTAATCGTCTGTCGGGACATTATCTGTTAAGTTTAAGAACAATTCTTTTAACCCTAAAACACAACATAATGTATGAAAACTCTCAATTCGGGAAAAAGTAAAAACTCAGAATTGGGCTCTAGGGTAAAACATTATGATTACAGTCATCATACAATTACAATAATTGTAATAATTTAAAGATAAAATTATTTATTATAAATACAATATTTTTTGTATTTTTAAATAATTATTTATAAATTATTTTATTAAAAATGAAATGCGTATTATATATTTTTATAATTGATCATAATGTATAATTATGTATCTATTGTAATTTATACATTATAATATAAATGTATTATATACATTGCAATATTTCCAACTTTAATTTAATTTAATTTAAGTTAAGTTAATTCCAGGCCTCATGTCAACCAGAGTTAGTATTTCATTTAATTTTATTTTATTTCAGATTAATTTCCTGTACACCGTTTTTATTTTTACTCCAGATTCATCATCCGTACACCATTTTTTTATATATATATATATTATTTTATTTTATTTCAGATTCATCTCCTCTACACCAATTTTTATTTTATTTTATTTCAGATTCATCTCCTGTACACCAATTTTTATTTTATTTAATTAAATTTTATTTCTTTTCCAGATTCATCTCCTGTACACCATTTATTTTATTTTTACTCCAGATTCATCATCCGTACACCATTTTAAAAAAAAATAATTTTATTTTATTTTATTTTATTTCAGATTCATCATCTGTACACCAATTTCTTTTTTGTTAATTATTTTATTTTATTTCAGATTCATCTCCTGTACACCATTTATTTTATTTTATTTTATTTTATTTTATTTTATTTTATTTCAGATTCATCTCCTCTACACCAATTTAAATTTTATTTTATTATATTTTAATCCAGATTCATTTCCTGTACACCGTTTTTATTTTTACTCCAGATTCATCATCCGTACACCATTTTTATTTTTTTTTTATTATTTTTTTTTTTCAGATTCATCACCTGTACACCAATTTTTTTTTATTATTTTATTTTATTTCAGATTCATCTCCTGTACACCGTTTTAATTTGAAAGTTTCCAGTACTTTTTCCAGCGCTCCTTAGCTCTAAGACAAAAGGCTGCTAAATTTATCAGAATTGCAGGATTGCGAAAGAGAAAGTCAAAATTACACATTTATATCTCACGGTCGCAATTGAGACAAAAAGTCAGAATTGTACAATAAAATGTTGCAATTAGCTTTTTTATCTTTTTTATTCTGTGCTGGAAATAAGTTGCCATAGCAATGCGATGCCTAATTAAAAGTCTGTGAAAAACCATATAGAAAATGGCTTTATATCAACACCGTACATCGGGCCGTACACTTTCGTAACTCTTTATAGCATCAAAACACAGAACTGCAGAAATACCGCGTGTTTTACAGCCGCAGCTGGTCAGTGAGATGGCCAGTCCAGCAGCAGAATCACTGAATGGCTTAGTTATAGTGTTGTTTGTTTGTTATTTGCATGTTAACCATTACACCATTAAAGAAATGACACATACAAACTCAGTGTCTGTGATTTCAGGATAAACCTGGAGATGACGTGAAGAGCTCCGAGACGAATCGAGGCTCAAAGGTGAATATCTTCATCCTCAGATAACTGTCAGAGTCAGGTGTTTGTTTTGTAGATCTGCAGATCATATTCATTCTTTCTGGATTGTGTTGAAGCTCATTAACGGCCCGGATGAGTTTTTGGCTCCAGATGAAGAAGAAGAAGAGCAGAATGAAGCTGCCGAGTACAAATCGGTATGAAGCTCGTTATTTCTGAATCATTATACTTTCAGATTTATGTATTTCATAACAGATTGATTTTTTTTCTCTTAACAGAAGAAACCGTCAAAACCCAAGATTATTACACACCGCAGAGGCTCTAAGGTAAAACATGATCTGCGTGGACCAATAACGCTATTTGAAAAAAAATTAAATATAAGATTTAAACAATATAATATTTACTTCATAAAATAAAGAATGATCTTCATACTTTTTACCTTTCAAATGATAAAAATGATTTTAATTTAAAATATTTGTAATTAAAGTTTTATTAAAAATGTGTTTTAAAACATTAAATAAGTATTATATAATATATATGCATTATATAATACTTGAGTAATTTATAATTTATAAATGCATAATGTATAAATTTCAAATTTATACATAACATTATAAATAATATGTCAAATAATATAATGTATTATATGCATAATATATGCATAATATAATATATTAAATACATTGCAGTATTTCCCAAAAAATGATATAACTTAACTTAACTCCAGGTCTCATTCTGACCAGTTTTATTTATTTATTTGTTTTATTATATTAATTCCAGATTCATCTCTTGTAACCCATTTTATTTTAATGTTTCCAGCAGTTTTACTTTAACCCTAAGACAGAAGTCTAGTCTGCTCATGTCCATTTTTTGGACACAATATTTGTAATTATTATTACAGGGTTCGTGCAAGGTGATTAAAGTGCTTGAAGTACTTGAATATGACATTTTCAAGTTCAAAAAGGGCCTGGAAAACCCTTGAAAATAGCAATATTCCTGAAGCGGTACTTGAAAAGTGCTTAAAATGATTGAAAGGCTGCATATATGACATAAGTGTTTAATTTATTTCAATAAACACACATCTTTTCACACAAAGTTAACGCTGATGTAGACTTTGTGTAGCCCCACCCCTTTTCAGAGCTGCGCTTACCCAGATAACACATGCACATCTGCGAGAAGTCTGTTAAAGATCTCTTCATCTGGAAGCATCTGCTGTGTACAAACATCTGATAGATGTCTTTAAGATGTCAGTTTTACATGCATTCTAAATCATAAACATATTCTAAACATCTATTAGACATCTGATAGGAAACGTCCTATAGACGTATTGCAGATGAGCAAACACTCTAAACATACGTCTTGCAGATGTAATGCAGACGTCAAATAGATGTCTCTGTGATGTACGTGTGCTGTCGGGATGCCATAAGCCCTATCCGGACGTGTTTCTCATGTGGACGTCTGTAAAAATGTGCATGGCACTCGCTGATAAAACTCATGCTTTCTGGTGGTGATTTATTCTTATTTTGTGGGAACGTGCGGTCAGTCGCATGATTGGGATGTGCTGCAAATAAAATTGCACATGCTTGGAATAATGAGAATAAAGTCATATGTAATGTAATAATAATATCCTATTTAGTATTTAATTACTAAATCTCCTATTTAAAAATAGGAAGATAGACACGCTATAGATAAAATGGTTTTCTGTCTTGCGTTTTATCTCAAAATCATGTTACAAATGGGGGAAATAAGCGGGAATATGTTGATGCAGCTTCTTGTTTCTACATGTCGAAAGCATAGCTTGGTTTCTCTTTCTCCTTTTTGTTCTTAACCGCCTGTGGTGATTAAATATTGTACACTTTCCAGCATTTCCATGATGAATGTACCTTTAAAATGTGTGCAATTTACAGCGAAGCTCAACAGCGCTCTGAACGCAGTGAAGTTTGTATTGGTCTCTTCTTGTAAATTCACAGATGTGGAGTCGGACGGTTTGACAAATGCATGAGAAACGAATACTGTTCGAACACGGCTATAGAAATATAGCCTAGAGAGCTTTCGCAAAAGCGGAAGTTCAAACACAAAATTCTCAAGATGGTTTTTGCACTTGTTTCTCTGGAAGTCAATACTGTGCGCGTTATCACATATTTGCATATATGTGATTCAGCTTTCATTGTTCAGGTCAATCACATCCCTGTTGAAAAAAACAGCATATGCTGCTTAGGTATGTTTTGACGCTGGGATGCTGGTTTAAGCTGGTCCTTTGCTGGTTTAGCAAAGGACCATCTTAAACCAGCAAAATGACCAGCATAAATCATCAAAGGACCAGCATAAATCATCAAAGGACCAGCTTAAACCAGCAAAGGACCAGCTTAAACCAGCAAAGGACCAGCATAAACCAGCAAAGGACCAGCTTAAGCCAGCACATTACCAGTTTAAGCCAGCACATTACCAGCATAAACCAGCAAAATGACCAGCTTAAACCAGCAAAGGACCAGCTTAAACCAGCAAAGGACCAGCATGAACCAGCAAAGGACCAGCATGAACCAGCAAAGGACCAGCATGAACCAGCAAAGGACCAGCATGAACCAGCAAAGGACCAGCATGAACCAGCAAAGGACCAGCATGAACCAGCAAAGGACCAGCATGAACCAGCAAAGGACCAGCATGAACCAGCAAAGGACCAGCATGAACCAGCAAAGGACCAGCATGAACCAGCAAAGGACCAGCATGAACCAGCAAAGGACCAGCATGAACCAGCAAAGGACCAGCATGAACCAGCAAAGGACCAGCATGAACCAGCAAAGGACCAGCATGAACCAGCAAAGGACCAGCATGAACCAGCAAAGGACCAGCATGAACCAGCAAAGGACCAGCATGAACCAGCAAAGGACCAGCATGAACCAGCAAAGGACCAGCATGAACCAGCAAAGGACCAGCATGAACCAGCAAAGGACCAGCATGAACCAGCAAAGGACCAGCATGAACCAGCAAAGGACCAGCATGAACCAGCAAAGGACCAGCATGAACCAGCAAAGGACCAGCATGAACCAGCAAAGGACCAGCATGAACCAGCAAAGGACCAGCATGAACCAGCAAAGGACCAGCATGAACCAGCAAAGGACCAGCATGAACCAGCAAAGGACCAGCATGAACCAGCAAAGGACCAGCATGAACCAGCAAAGGACCAGCATGAACCAGCAAAGGACCAGCATGAACCAGCAAAGGACCAGCATGAACCAGCAAAGGACCAGCATGAACCAGCAAAGGACCAGCATGAACCAGCAAAGGACCAGCATGAACCAGCAAAGGACCAGCATGAACCAGCAAAGGACCAGCATGAACCAGCAAAGGACCAGCATGAACCAGCAAAGGACCAGCATGAACCAGCAAAGGACCAGCATGAACCAGCAAAGGACCAGCATGAACCAGCAAAGGACCAGCATGAACCAGCAAAGGACCAGCATGAACCAGCAAAGGACCAGCATGAACCAGCAAAGGACCAGCATGAACCAGCAAAGGACCAGCATAAACCAGCAAAGGACCAGTTTAAACCAGCAAAGGACCAGCTTAAACCAGCAAAAGGACCAGCTTAAACCAGCAAAGTGCCATCTTAAACCATCAAAAGAGCCAGCATAAACCAGCAAAAACCAGCAAAAGGCCAGCTTAAACCAGCAAAGGACCAGCTTAAACCAGCAAAGGACCAGCTTAAACCAGCAAAGTGCCAGTTTAAACCAGCAAAGTGCCAGCTTAAACCAGCAAAAGGACCAGCATAAACCAGCAAAAGGCCAGCTTAAACCAGCAAAGGACCAGTTTAAACCAGCATCCCAGCGTCAAAACATACCTAACCAGCATATGCTGTTTTTTTCAACAGGGCGTGTATGAAAAGAATCAGTCTGAATGAGGAAAGCGATGATAACTTCATAATAAAGGGGTTTTCAGCGCTGCAATGCTTTGATCTCAGCTGTGCGTGTCCGTGTCATTCAAAGAATTTCCTTGTTTACAAACCTTACTTCACTTTTGAATGAGTACTAATTCGCTTTTAAAGTCATTCCCTTGCCGCCACCTACTGGCGTAACTATGTAGCCTTCACTGAAGTGGTTGATCAATTTTAGGCCTTTTTTAATGTTCCCAGTTTTTAATGTTGACGCCATTGCATAGCCTACTTTGCATGTGCTTCAACTTTATTTGGGTCATTTTGTTTTATTAGTAGGGTTCAACGGGGCTAAAGGCACTCCATAAGAAAAAATGTGCTTTTCACTGCGCCTAAAATGTATAATTGAAGAAAATAATATATATACGTTTGTATTGAACATTAACGGAGCAACAGATTTTCATTCTAAATCATTCAAGTTGTTTATTTTGTTAAAAAATCTTATTAATGTATGAGTTGGCAAGATGGGCCGTTTATGCACGGGGTAGAAGGCCCACGGTATTGATACAAATACTTCAGCTAAAATAATGTTATTAGTGTCTAAGTTATTACTTGTTCAAAACAATTTTTTTTGGAAAAATTAAATTATTATTTTTTGTTCAATAAATATACTGTCATTAAAATGTTAATATAAAAATATATATATATATTTTAAAATACAGAAACAAAATAATTTTAATAAGTAAAGATTCTGAAAGTATTGAAGGAGATCCAATGATAACTGAATATATATTTACAGTAGTAGCAACAAATTATATTTTATTATATGATATGATTAATATGATGGTTTCATTCTAAACATGGTGATTATCTCTAATATGGACACCCATCATAATAAATGATATTTACCATCTGAATGTCGACAAATGAAAAAGTCAGCCATCTGTTAATTATCATGTTAATTACTGTGCGCCTTTAGCCCCAACAGCAGGGGCGCTTTTTACCCCAAATACCATACTTTTACATATTCTTTCGTTATTTAAAAGCTGTTGCTTTAATTATCTTAAACAAAACTGAAAATCATAAAGAAGACCTTTGTCTCAATATATATGCATTAATTTTAGGGTTTCTAATTTGCTACTTAAATCTACAACGTAAATTTTTTTTTTTTTAAATACATAAAATATTAGATCAAGTAAACACAGAATCAACTTTGCACTGCTGCGTGCGATCACGTCAAGGATCAGACAAATATACACGTGCATCTTGAAAAGCGGATGTTTTGGAAAGTGCTACGCCACGTTTTTGTGCCGTCTAGTGGTTTAGATGAAAATAATATCAAAGGCACCTTTAGCCCCATTGTACCCTATATGTTTATTGATCTATTTATCTTTTTTTAGAATTTTAAAGATACGATATTGTTTGAAAACCAAAAAAAAGTAGTGCTTAAAGTCATTGAAAGTTCTGGAATTTCATTGTACAGTATCTGTACGAACGCTGTTATTATAATAAGCCTGTCAATAATTTTCATTGAACACTTTCATTGACCTTTTCTGGTATTTAAAATGCAATACATAACTTCAGATAGATCATTACCACATTAAGCTACAGTATAACTCTCGTCTGAGAGCGAAAGAGATGAGATTTGGAAGTCTGTGTCAATAAAAGTACTGAAAGATCCTTTCACATGTTGTTCTACAGCACAGAATATTTACTGGCTGATGGCGAAACTATCTGCCAGTAATTTATAATACGTGCCATTATTTTGTCAAGCCAACTTTATCACGTGATATCGTTCATGATTATGATATTCATTTACATCTGCAGGTGAAATCTGCTGAAGCTCCAGACTATAAGGTTTGTTTATTTCAGGAATCAGTTTATTGATGTTAGAGATGAGCAACAGTTGATTTAATCGTCACATTTAATTGTCATATTAGGATGATTTAACGTCCTCATGGAAACATGCTGATCTCGTGGCCTTGAGAGAGAAGAAAGCAGAAGATGTGGACTGCAAACCAGTACAAACACACAATATTTTTCTTTTGCAGTGATTTTTAGTGTGCTGTGATTTGAACTCAGTGTCTGCTCTCTAAAATGTATTTATTTATTTAGTTAGTTACTTATAATTTTATTTTATATTTTTTGCAGAAGCAGCCACAGAAATTCAATCCTTCTGTGCCACACCGACCATCAAAGGTAATATATTCTGTGTTTGCATGTTTATTAGAAATATAATGTGTGCTTTAGATTTAAAGCCTGGATTTTGAATTCGTTTACCAACCGGAAGCGGTTCTTAAGACATTCAGGACTAAAATTAATCTCACACACACACACACACACACACACAC